GCAGCGAGGAAAACAACGTGGACAAACAGTTAGTCCTGAAGGAGAAGGCAAACGAAGGATGTAAGTACAGAATTGTTGAGGAAAGGAAAAAAAAAAAAAAAAAAAAAAAAAAAAAGGCTTGCTTTCGAGTCTCGACATGGATGATGGTTTTGTATATTGCAAACCAATATAGAATGACACTCTTTATGCAGAGTGCTATAACTTCGACTACAGCACTTTGCTACAAAGTGCAAGGTGACGCACGAGTCTTGCTATTAGTTAGCTGACGTCATCTCTGCATCAAGCAAGGCTGTTCTCTTGTTTTATTGTGATGTTCCAGAGCACTGTAGCCGTTTGGTACCGGTATCCCCGTTTTGTGTGTTTGCTACTGGACGGTACCGGTAGGCCTATTTTGGGAGAGAGAGGGCTAACGGTATCCCCGTTTTGTGTGTTTTGCTACCGGCATGGTCCGGTAGCCTATTTTGGGAGAGAGAGGGAGGAAGGAGGGCTTGAGAAGATGGAGGTGGGGAGGAAAGAGTGGGGGGTGGGAGGCAGAAGAGAGGTGTTGGTCTACCCCACACCTAACTTTGGGGGGGTAAGAGGGACGGAGAATACCCCTCGCCACCCGTAACCCTCTTTTTAGGCTGTCAGCAGAATCTGAACGGTGGGCGATTGAACATGAATATTTCAACCAAACGCTGCCAGAAGGCACGAAACTCTTATGAAGTTTGTGGAAAAGCAGGTTATTAAACCGTACCGTTATTTTATGTTATTGTGGTTATCTCTGTGACCTTGGGAAACTTCATCCAGGCAAATTGGCGGAAAAAGGGGGAAAAACTTCAAAGAACTTAAAAAAACTTAAAACAAAGGCTATTCTGTGTCTTGACCGCCGCCTAATTCATCGTAACTGCCTTGTGTTTGTGTATGTTCTGTGACTAATGTTTGCGTTTGCGCCGCGTATGCTCGGTTCTTGTTCATCAGCACGGTGAAGAGGATGTGTGGAAGGGCGTGAAGGGAACATTGGACGCATATGCTGCCAAAGTGAAATCGCGAGGCGACAAGGAATTCAGCCAGATATACCCTCTGATGATGACACTTGGTGGAGCATTGACGGAGACCGCCTCCTCTCAAGCGAAGGTGTGATGACGTGGTTAACCATCATCAAGGGTGTGAGATTTCTGCTCTCCTCTCCTGATGATCGCGCTCCCCCAACGCCTTCACCACCTGTCTTGGTAAGCTTTTTTTTTTTCTTTTTTTTTTGGCAAACAAGAGAAGGCTGTGGGTCGGCAGTCTCTCCTGCGCACCATGATTCAACCGTCAACTACTAGCATAGGGGGAGTCAGGGAGACGGTCTTTTCTCCCTCTTTCTCCCTCGTATCGGAGGCGAGATCTCCTGTGTCGCGGCTGCGTCGAGGGTGTGCAGTTATCATGACCTGAGGACGCAAAGAGGTTTCATGTCTGCGAAAGCCACATGCTGTTCGTGTTCAGCCTGTCATTCTTTGGGTACTGCTGGTGTTTCGGCGACCAAAAAGGGGATTTTTCTCTACTGGTCAGACTGTCGTTGTTTGTCATCGACGATCCTACGAGAGGTGCATCGCCTGAGTTGTCTTCTCGGCGATCTCTTTTATGTCCCTCAGCGCCACCCTAACCTAACCCGCACAAGCGCCCATCGACATCTGTACGGCGGTGGCGCTCCTAATGGTATGGAAGATGTGGTGTGGAGCACCGACTTGGTAGAGCTATTAAGCTTGGCCTTTTTGACGTTTTTTGTTTTTTGTTTCCTTCGGGATTGGCCATATTGATTGGATGCTAGGTACAATTTTGAATCCTGAAGAGAAAAGTATTCACATGGGTATTCTGCGGTTGAGTAGGGGTTCCAGAATAGCATTTACTTTGTCAACCGTGGGAACTTAGGAAAGTCAAATAAAGGAGAAGGTGGTCTATCGGCAAGCAGCATCCTCGCCTTGAAAGAGTTTGTTGCCGGCGCAGCTATTCTGCCACTGCGTCAGTGGTATAATCTCCCACATGCATAAGACGTGTGCACACACACACACACACACACACACACACACACACACACACACAGGTACCAAGCAAGCATGCACGGAGACAAAGGCTTCTGGGAGGGAAGGAAGAGAAAGCGAGGGAAGGAGGAGGAGAAGAGGGAAACAATATGTGGAGAGAGATGGGGAGTGAGGATGGGTGTGCGTAGACAATGCGAAAGGTTGGTGTGGGTAGACAATGCGAAAGGTAGGAGAGCCAAAGGGAGCAGGGGAGAGAGAGAGAGAGAGAGAGAAGAGAGAGAGAGAGAGAGAGAGAGAGAGAGAGAGAGAGAGAGAGAGAGAGAGAGAGAGTAAAGGTTTCTTGAAATCTTTGTTCACAAAGCTGGCATTTAACTTTCGTTCTTTTGGTTCCTGTTTTCTTTTTTTGGCCTTTACCTTTCTCTGCCCTAGCTGTCTTGTTATTTTGACTGGCTTCTGTGTCTTCTAAAAGGCCATTGGTGAAAAAAGAAAAATCAAACCTATTTACTATTTAGTATTTAGCTAGGCTACCAGTCGGGCCGCCCGGGTCCCGGGTGGCAATCCCGTGCAAGGACCAGGGAAGGCCCCAGCAAAAAAAAAAAAAAAAAAAAAAAAAAAAAAAANNNAAAAAAAAACTACGTTAAGCAGAAAAATAGACTGAACAACTTTTGCCTCAGGGTCACATCGAAATTCTTCACCAAATTTAGATTTATTTTTTATTTTTTTTATTTTTTTTTCGCCCAGCCGGGCAAGTGACTCTGGGGCCCGGGCCACTCTGGTAGCCTAGCTATTTAGGCTATTTTGCTCAACTTCATGTGTCGTCAGAGAGGATTGTGGCAAATGGGAATGGCCTTTCCTAAGTGACTTTGGCTGAAATCTCCACGTGCTGTACACAGCAGAAGAAAAAGGGGGGGAAAAAACAAAGGAAATTACACACCTTCCTTTTTTTTGTTTTTTTTAAACAAAAATTCTAGGCTTCCAGCTGGGCCGCCCGTGTCACATTGTTGGCCGGGCTCCCCGGCCGTGCAAGGACCATAGAAGGTCCCAGAAAAAAAAAAAAAAAAAATCCCAAAAATTCTGGGAAAACAAATTATGTTGTGCAGAAAAATAAACTGAACAGTTTTGCCTCAGAGTGATATCGAAATTCTTTACCGAATTAAAAATAAAAATAATTTTTTTTTTTTTTTTTTTTTTGGCCTGGCCGGGCAAGTGGTCCCGGGCCACTCTGGTTTACTTAGCAAAACACGTTAGATAAATTTTCATGTATTTTCTGTTTACAAAAAGGGCATTGCATTGCGTATGCAATCAACAGAGGCAAGGACCTCACAAATCACAGAGTACTGTGACCACTACCCATGTTATAGGTTATAAGCCCTCTGCTCATCGCTTAAGTCTCCAAAGATCTTGATTTCGTGTGTTTCAAGGATGCCTGCAACTGTTTTTTTTTTGTTTTCGAAAGGTCTCTATGCAGGCAGGACTTGTGAAACCTCTCTCGCTAAATAGGGAGGGGATGTGAATTGTGCGCAGGGCAGTCCCTGGGGGGGTTAAGATGCCAGAGGGGTGTGTGACAGGCCGGACCTGGAGAATCACATGCAACCTTTGGGTTGTGGAGTTGATGTGCTTTTGGACCAGATTCGGATCTGAAAAGCACCGCTGCACTGAGGCCCTGCTGCAGCCCGCGCTGGTCGTCAAGGTGGGGCGTGGGTCTATTTAGCCTACCAGGCTGAAGAAGAGGATCACCCCTGGTATAAGACCAACCCGACAATGATCCGCGTCTGCAGGACATGGTGGGGACCTGTGTAGCACACCGAACATGTTCGGCACCCCACCGAGCAGCCGAACGTGTTCGGGCGCTCGGCCGAGCGCGAACCGAACATGTTCGGCCGAGCGCAAATTAGAGGGTTGCCGAGCGCATCCTCGTGTGTGTGTGGCGTGTGGGGTGTATATGGGGTGTTTGTGGGATGTCTGGGGGTGCGTGTGTATGGTGTGTGTATGTGTGTATGTTTAGGAGTCATGAGCGATGCCCCCCAGGGCCCCCCAACCCCTATATATATATATATATATATATATATATGGATCATCTACGCTGGGTGGAGAGATTTCATTAGGAAACAATATTTTAGTAGCTTATATGCCTTGGGAAGGATATAACTTTGAAGACGCAGTTTTAAGCCTCCTGATGAGTCGGTGAAACTCCGACGAAACAGTTTGTCACAGCCCCTCGTTTGTTGTCCTCTTCTCTCTCTCTGCCTACGGTTTACCGGGCAGTTCTATTTGTGACGATATATATATATATACCGAGCGTTCGGGTTCGGTCACCGAGCCCGAGCGCGATGCTACGCAGGTGGGGACGTGAGTATTTAACTATTTTCTCGGTGGCAGAAAAAGAAATTGTTGTTGGAAAAGTATCCATGTTTTTGGTCTCTGCTCGACTTGGCCTGGCAAAGTCAAGGGGTTCGTTACAAGATCTTTGGCGGCAGTGGGGCAGTTTGAACTCCCGTTGTCTTTTGTCAGTCCAGCATTTTGCGGGACGCTAGACATGCTGAACCTTGGGCCTGAGCAGCAAGAGTCCAACATTTTGTTTTTTGAGGCAGTGGCAACAGAAACGCCAGAGAGAGAGAGAGAGAGAGAGAGAGAGAGAGAGAGAGGGCAGGAAGGCCAAGAGATGGTACATGAAATGGAGAGACGGCACTGGGGGGAAAGAGAGACAGAGGCTGGAAGAGAGAGAGAGAGAGAGAGAGAGAGAGAGAGAGAGAGAGGAGGGTGGAGGAGAAAGGAAGGGCAAGATAGGGTAGGAGGAAGAGAGAGAGAGATATAGCTTGGGGAAAGCATGACACAGAGGCATGGGAAGGAGAGGGGAGCAAAAGAGGGAGGAGGGAGGAGGGAGGAGGGAGATCATATGTGAATTTGTGTGGGTGTCCTTGTGCAGCACCCATAAATGAGCTTCTATGTGTCGTTCCAGTTTCAGCGGATGTCCCAGAAGGATGGAGAACACTGCTTTCTTTTTAGCATTTTGTGATGATTAAGATGTGTCACAAGGGAAAAACAAAAGAAAAAAGAAAAAGGTGCATAACAAGTAAAAAGAAAAGAAAAGAATGGCGATGACCACTATGCCACTGCTATGGACATGTTGTTCATGTGGAGGTCGTTCCATGCCAGTGTGGGAAACCTCGCACTCAACTCTTCACGTATGGATGAAATACTTGTGATTTTGTTTGCATCCTTCGGATAAAGCACTACCGTCTTCTTCACGTATGGATGAAATACTTGTGATTTTGTTTGCCTCCTCCGGATAAAGCACGACCGTCTTCGCCCACATACAACGTACAGTCCTTGTTACTGTATCTGGACTCGAAGTTGCCCCAGATATATAGCTATAGTGACCGTACGTTGTATTGGGGTGAAGACGGAAGATGTCGCCCCTCGGCAAAGGTGATACGCTGTTGCCCTCTTCTGGGAGGGAAGGGAATGGCTCATTGGAGGGTGTTTTGAACGCATGCTCACTATCCTGTAGAATTATCCGCAGTGCTGTGCCAGTCAACACATGATCACAGTCACACAGATTTGGGCCTACTGGAGCTGAGAAGTGCTGGGGAGAGGGGGAACAAAACGCTTCGGGGCATCCGTTAATAGAGTTGGAACGATAGTGATGATACAGAGAAGATCAGCATGGCCCCTGCGCAAGGATGACACACAAATAGAGGAACAAAATCCAGGCTGGTGATTTTCCACTGGTATTTTCAAACACATTTGTTTTGCGTGTCAAGAAACAATTCTTGTGCTTTGCGTGTCAAGAAACAGTTCTTGTGCGGCTGCAGAAATGTGCATCCTCATGGCTGCCGCTGCATGCGTCCCCACAGGTAGTCCAGGGGCGGGCGAGGTCAAGCGTAGGGGTGGGGGTAGAAATCGAACTGTTGTGAAAATGACGGTTGCAGGTACGATGGTATAACACCCCAGGGGAGAGGTCCCACTAAACGAAAGAGGATTGGTGGATTGAACACCTGCCTGAATCTGGATGTGTTTGTGGAAACGTGCTGAAAAGAATCGAGATTGAACTTCTTTTCTGCATGTCTGCATAGAACACATCCAGATTCGGGGAGCTTAATCCAATCCTCTCTTTGTTAATGGGACCTTGCCGCAGGTATTGTTGCAGTGTCGGGCATGATGTGGATTCATTTGAGTCTTTTGTTTTTGGCTTTCGACGAAACTTTTGGTTGATTTTTGAAAAAGTGACAGCCGTGAGATATCATTACCGAGCAGACCCCCCCCCCCCCCCCCTGGCAATTCAGGTATTTCATCTGTGTAGTACCATTCAGGTATTTCATCTGTCTAGTACCATCTGCGTTCGAACTCAGGTCTATGTTCCAACAGTCTGTGGGTGTACCAGCTGGGCCTCGGCCCGTCGGTTGTTCTCTGTGTTTTGAATATTGGTTCCAAAGGTCAGTCAGTAGACCCACGATCTGTTGAAATGCTGACCCGGGTTCGAATCCCCAAATATTTCTGAATTACCTTGGGTAGGTCAGTTCAAAGATGATATCTCCAGCCTGTCACGCTTAAATCACCACAGTACCGCTACCCTTTGCAGGCACTGGCGCTTTTGCAAAGCTTAGCGGCGTTAGCGCGCAGTTTGTGTCCAGCTCGGCAAAAAGAGGCTTGCAGGTAGTGGTGGTGAAAAAAAAAAAAAAAAAAAAAAAAAAAAGAGGTGCCGACTCCTGATTACAGATATGGCGAGCCTAGTTCAGGCAAGGACTGGATATCCTATTTACACCAGGGGCCAAGTCCCACTAGCAGCGTTGAGGAAACTCGATGCCCGAATCTGGTCGTGTTTTTGAAGATGTGCGGTTGAGGAAAACTGAACGCGATTTTCTGCGCATCTCCACAAACACGTCCAGATCCGGGCGTTGAGTTTCCTCAATGCTGCTAGTGGGACTTGGCCCCATGATAGGTTCTAGGTGGGATTTGATCGGTGACTCCGCTGGGGGGAGGTTTGGTTGGACATTATCCCTACTGGAGGGTTGGGGCCTCTGCGGTAGTGGAAGTCTTAGGGGTCCTCTGGGCTGACGTAGAGCTGTGATAGGCCCTTGTGGAGGATATCTTCGGGGAACCTGCATGGAGATATGGGGTGAGGGTAGAGCGGTGATAGGCCCTTTGTGATAGGCTCATTAGAGGCTGTCTTAGGGGGTGAGGGTTGGTCTGTTACCTGCATGGAGAATACTGTCAGATTAGAATAACCCAGAGTAGCTCCCGTTCATGATAGAGGTTGGGGGAGCGGATGGTGGCCATGAACCCACCGAGGACGGAAACTGGAGTTACTCTGCGGGATGCTCTTAGAATGCCTAGACATCCAGTTG